CTTGCATAAAGCCAAGGAACACTGGCGTGTTCATTGCTAGGAGGTTGTTGACCAAGTGATGAAGTAGGCACAGTTGGCCTTGAACCCACACCACCCGAGAGTGGTGCAAGCACCATGGACAACGTGGCTAATCTCATTTGGACCAAGGCCTCAAGAGAAGCATCATGCTCCTCTTTTTGCTTACCAAGGGCCCATTCTAGATCCTCAGACGTAAAGGACTTGACTTCAGAAGAAGCCTTGCCTTTATCCTTAGGATCTACAACCAGGGGAGTCCCATATGGGTTCATCTCGCTCTAGGGCGGTTAAGCCACAAGAATAAAGCACAAGGCTTTGATACCAATTGAAAGGATCGAGATGGACCTAGAGGGGGGGTGAATAGGTACAATTACAAATTTTAATTATTACTTAGCAATTTTAGGCAATAATGTGAAATATGAAGATGAGCCCAACAATTGCAAGTGAGTACTAAGTACTAAGCAAGTAACACAAGCACGTAAGTAAGAAAGCACAATATGATGTACGTAAGTGTAAAGAGACAAGTAACCACAAGTAGAGAGTTAGGGTTAGGAATAACCGCAACTCCGGGAGACAAGGATGTATGCCGATGTTCACTTCCTTGGAGGGAAGCTAGTCACCGTTAGAGAGGTGGATGTTACCACGAAGGCACACCAACGCCACGAAGACTCACCCTATTCTCCCTTTGAGACAACACCACGGAGGCGTTTCTCAACCACTAGTGGTAGACCTTGGGGTGGTCTCCAAACCCTCACAAACTTTTTTGAGGGTAATCACAAAGTTCGATTCCTCTTCGAATGACTCCTACCGCCTAGGAGTCTCCAACCTCCAAGAGTAACAAGAACGATGGGGAAAAGCTCAAAACTTGCTCAAATCACGAATTCCTTCGGTGCAAGGAAGGAGAAGGAGTGGATCTATCACTTGATTGGACAACTTCTCACAAATGCTCTCAAATCCCTTGGGGATCTAAGATTTGGTGTGGAGGAGTGAGAGAGAGAGAGAGAGTAATAAATGTGTTCTAGGGTTTGTTCAAAGTGAGTGGTCACCCCTCTCCCGTGGGGGAGAAGGGCTATATATAGTGTGAGTGCAAATGTGGCCGTTATAGTGTAAATGAACGGACAGGCTGGACATCCGGGTTGGCAATGGCACACAAAGAACACAGCAGAGGCAGAGCAGAAAACAGAGAGGCCGGAGATCCGGGGCCCAAGCCCGGACATCCGGCGTATCAGGAAGGCCCGGACATCCGGCAGGTGACCGGACATCCGGCGCGATCACAAGGTGGTTACAGAAACCCAGTTGCACTGTGGTAGCAGGGGCCGGACATCCGGCGCGGCATGAGGGCCCGTACATCCGGCATAGAGGGCCGGACATCCGGCAAATCATACCAGCAAAAATGCATTCTGGATAGCCAGAGCCGGAAATCCGGCCTGCAGGCCGGATATCCGCCCTGAGCCCGGACATCCGGGGTCAAACCCGGACATCCGGTATGCCATAGACAGAACCTTTATCAGAGGGCATAAAGTAGGAACACTAGCCTAGTTTTGAATGGTTGTTATTGATATGAGCAAGTCTTAAGCTAACCCTATCGATCCCCTCTTAATAGTGCGGGATCCTATACTCAAGGAAATAAATATGAAATCACTTTTTAATACTTCATCCTTGAGCAAATTACTTCGTATGCTCTTGATCCACACACGTCGATGAAACCGGGGACTAACACCTGAGATTTACTTAACAACCATTGTTAGTCCCCTACATGTATATTGTCATCAACATCAGAACATGATGTAAGAGCATGATTGCTCTTTCAGCCTTCCTGTTACAAAAAATGTGAAAGTCAAACCAGGGATAAAGGCTGCCGATATTAGTGATCTCAATACATAAACGTTGAGCATGGTTACTTAACTGATTTCACCAGGGTAATGCGCAATTCATGTTACTAGTGGTGATTATTTTTCAGTAATTTGAATGTGATCTTGGTCAGCTGTCAAGGTAGAAAATGTTATAAATGTCATAGAGAGATACATGATTGCCAGTTAAGAATCGACAGTAATTTTCACACCCCACATCTCTTGATTTGTTAGTAATTGTGTAATAGTATCATAGAAATTCAGAAAGGGTAATTGTAGATGAGAAGACACAAGGATATCTAGAGATGATGAAATTCTAGAGATAATACTTTCTCTCTAGATTATTGTCTAGAATGGAACTAACTAAAGAAGTTTAGGATATGTTATTGCTCTTAATTCATGGAAACAATCAAGCCACTTTTTTAGGTACAACAACTGTGCTATGTTTGGTCACACTAGCTCTAGGTTGAAGTTGAGTTTCAGTTGACAATGAGATGAGTGCAAGACAAGTCGCTCGCAACCAGTGAGCCAAAATGATACTCACGTCATCTTGATTGTTCCTCTGTCGTAGCAAGTTTTCATCTCATAATTAGAAGAAGGCAAAGAATCTTTTGTAGTGCGATGGTAATTGATCTTTGCTCGGTGAGAACGAGCCAAGCCAGGAGGTTTGGGGGTGCTGAAACTGCATGCATGTCGAGGCCGAGAGCGAGGAGGAGCCGAGCTAAGGCAGCGGGGTATGGCATTGATGCGCAGACTCGGTGGAGATCCCGGTCGCCAGCGGGAAAGGAAGGCGAGCGGAAGCGGACGAACGGCGGTGAACAAAATGCTTCAGTTGATAGCAGCGGCGGTGGACGGAGTGCTTTCGTTCAAGTCAAAAAAATTAATACCCAAAAAACGGACCCAAAAAATCTGGCTCACAAAGGCTTAATTGAAAAAAAAAACGAATGCCAGTACACCTTCATACTAATGAACAAAAGGTATGCAAACTTGCATCTAAAATTTGTATTGGTTTAGTATTGAATCTCTTCAACTCATTTGTTTCTTTTGATGTGTACAAGGTATGTAGACTTACTGAGTTTTATCCCAAAGACTTTTAAAGTGCTGACTTGATACACCTTGAACTAGAACTTGATAAATATATTGATGACATGACAACAGATGAGAACTTCCAAGGCCTTGGAAATCTTGTTGGTCTCTCGGTTAAGATTGTTCAAACAGGAAGACATATAGTTCATTATTTGGTGTGCTTGCTTTTAAAATTGGTATTGATTCTGTCAGTGGTAACGACAAATGTTGAGAGAGCGTTTTCTGCCATGAGTTTAGTCAAGAGCAAGTTGAGAAATAAGATGGGTGATAGTCTTTTGGATGAGTGTCTAGTCACATACATTGAGAGGGATGCTTTCTCCACGGTGAATGAAGATGACATAATTGATACCTTGACGGCAATGTAAACGCATAAGCCAGAAACATAGTCTTTCTGAAGTTCTCAAGGTATGTATTATGGTCCATGTACCATTTACTATGTAGGTTTCATTATACAAAATTGAGATTTAATTGAGAATTTTAGTGTGTTTGTAAGTGTATATAGAATTTGTTCTATTGGTAATTAGTTACAACGTTCACATGTCATATTAATTACAATTTTTTTTAGGGTGGACCGCCCTGTTGTCAAATGCTAGCTCCGTCACTATTAGTCCTTGATCACAACCTAACTTGCAGTTACTGATCAATCCAGTAAGACACTTGCTTGACCAGATTACATGTGGGGCACCACTTGCGCCAATAGCATGTGAAAGCATATTATATAGTACTCCCTCCATGAGAAAGGCGTTTTGGAGGCCGAGCTCCATGGAGGCCTTTATTTTTGAAGAATTCAAATTCAAACTTTTATGGTTCAAAAAATTCTGAAAAAAAAATATGCGTGTATGTAAGGATGTAACTCACATGTGTGCAAAAATTCACGATGAAATACCTTGAGTTGCGACCTGTACAAAAAAGACAAATCTATGGCCTAGGAGGATGAATAGTATCATGTGTTAAACAGCCCCAGATTTGTCTTTTTTGCACAGCCCTCATTTTAATGAATTTTGAACTGAAAATTTACACACGTGTGTATTATGCCTTCATGTATATCTGTAATTTTTTTCAAATTTTTTTGAAATGTAAAAATACGAATTTCAATGAAATTTCAAATTTGAATTTGGAGGCCTCACTGGAGCCCGAGCTCCAAAAGGTATTTCCGTCCCTCCATTCCATATGTAGTGCCTATAAATTTGTTGTTGTCAAACTTAGCAAACTTTGACTGGCAAACATATACTGGAGCACAGTATAATTAGAACTAAAACCACGGCACTTATTTTTGGACGGAGGGAATGCAATATAAAAATATGTATCATGATGAATCCACTTATATGTATTTGGTATTCTAAACATATATATTTTTCTCTACAAACTTGATCAAAGTTTGTAAAGCTTGACTTTTATAAAAATCAGTATGCACCATATTGTGGAATGGGGGAGTATATAGAGACGCCAATCTGTCAAAAATAAAATGGTATGGGGACACCTATAATAGTTCAAATTTACTAAGCCTACTAGTAGTAACAGAGGGGGCCATGCATCTTGCTTAGTTGAAATAACAATCTTTATTTCCAATGCCAGCTGTGGCAGAAAGAGCATATGCCAGTATGTTAGCTGTACTACTTCTACTAACTAATGTGCTCTTGCAATCATTCAGCAAACCTTTGATATAGAAAAGGTAATCCTGATGTTGGTATTTTTTATAAACTTGGCCAGACTTAAAAGGTTTCACTAAAAAAAATAGGGCTAACATTTTAGGAGGGTGAGAGTACAAAAGACTGGAAATAACGTCCACTCAAACGTATCCACACAAATGAGACATGCATCAGCCCAAGTATGCATGTGAACGTGAGCACATGGCTTGCAAACAACCCAGAGTTTGACCAAGTTCACGGCCAACACAAATCGCGGGCTCATGCAATAATAAGACTCCAATACAACAAGATTAAAAATCAACACTCTAACGTATACATGCTTGCAATTATATAAATTTATGATGGATAGTCTTATTTTGACGATGTTTCTTCAAGCACATTCGGGAGCAAGGAATGTACGCTAACGGACATCTCCACTGTCCACTCCACGAAGGGGGACTCGGAGGACAGGGCGAAGAAGGAGGTCGGCCTTCCGCCGTGCCGTGATGCCAAACGCTTCCTCCATGTCCAACTCCTCCCGTGGTGGACCCTCCCAATCAAAGTGGAACAGCAGGCTTGCGAGAGCGAGCTCGATGTTGGCGAGGCCGAACGCCATCCCGGGGCAAGTTCTCCTGCCAGAACCGAACGGCAGGAAGGAGAAGTTGGTTCCCCTAAAGTCCACGGTGGCCGCCTCGCCCTCAAACCGCTCCGGCCGGAACTCGCTAGGCGCGCCGGGCCAGTATCGCTCATCGCGGCCCATCGCCCAAACATTGATTAGCACCTGCGTGCCCCGGGGCACGTCGTACCCAAGAATCTGGCATGGCTCACGGCACTCCCGCGGGAGGAGTAACGGCGTGGGCATGTGGAGCCTGAACGCCTCCCTGATGACCAGATGCATGTACGGGAGCTCACCGAGGGTGTCCTCTGCTACACTGCCACGAGCTTCGAAGGCTTGCCGAACCTCGGCTGTCACCTTCTGCATCACCTTTGGGTTCCTTATCAGCTCAGCGATCGTCCACTCTAGTGTAGCTGTCTCGCTGCCGCCACTAAGCAGGTCCTGTGTGAAACATTGATTGTAGAGGGAGTTTCATTTTTCAGACTTAAGAGGGTCGGGGAGCTTCTCTTTATTCAATACCGGTGATGCATGTACATGATTTATTTTTTATCTGACGGTTGTGTACTTGTATAGCATAATTATTTACAAAAGTCATTAGCTCAATTATGCAAGCAAGTACAACAGTACTAGATTATAATTCTTTTCTATTCTTTTACAAGAGTTTACTCTGTACCCCTATAAAAAGAGTACAAAAAGTGTATACAATGTAATACTACCTACGATCCATAACAAGTGTCGCAGTTTTAAACGTCAACCTTAGTTTAAAACTGCAACACATACTTTGGACAGTAGGGTGTAATTCTCTTAAATTAATATTAAAATAATGGCTTGCATAGGAAAACACTTCTAGATTAACTAGTTTCTTAGACATTTCAGAATTACTATTTTTTATACAAAATATAGTAAAGTTGTGTTTAAAAAGTAGTAAGTATGGAATAAACATTTTTACTATCCAGTCACGATTTTACAAGCATACAATATGTAAAAGTGTATGTTATTATGACTCAGGATAATAAAACTGAAACTTCAAAGAGGAATTTGGAAGGGAGAGGGAGAGAGAGAGAGAGAGAGAGAGAGAGAGAGAGGGAGAGAGTATTTACAAAGATGACGTATTTGACGGCGTCCATGTCGAGTCTGCCCTCCTCCTGCATGCTTAGCAGCACGTCGAGCAAGTGCTCGTCCTTCTGGTCTTGGTTTCCGGCACCTTCCATCCTCCGCCTCTCGAGTCGCTCCCGGATGATGGTGTCGAGGATGTAATGCCCGGTGTCGTGGCACTCCTTGGCGCGGCGCACGGCCCCGCTGAGCCAGCTAGCAAGCCGGGATGACGGCCACAGGTCCGGTGGGTTGAAGCCCGCTACGAGCTTCATGGAGCGGTCGAGTGTGCTGAGGAACACGGCGCGCTCCTTGAACCGGCGGTCACCCATGACGGCGCGGACCGTTATGTCAGAGACGAGGGCCGAGAGGAGAGGGCGCATCTCCACGGGTCGCGTGGCCGCCGCCGCCTCGGCGACGTCTCGGAGCATGACGGCGACCTCCTCTTCGCGGATGGCGCGGAAGGACAGGACACGCCGTGCCGATAGGAGCTCCATGACGGCTATCTTCCGAAGCTGGCGCCAGTAGTCGCCGTACGGCGCGAAAACGATGTCCCGGCCGCCGTTGGTGAGCACGCTTGCTGTGGCACGCAGGGGCCGCGTCGCGAACGCCAGGTCGTGTGTCTTCATGACCTCAAGGGCACCCTCTGGGGACGACACCACCAGCGTCGGCACGTCCCCGAGCCGGAGGAGCATCACCGGCCCGTGGCGCTGCGCTAGGTCACGCATGGCGTGGTGGGGGAGCTGACCGGCGAGGTGGTGCAGGCTGCCGATCACCGGCAGCTGCCACGGCCCGGGAGGCTCGTTCGCTGTGGAGCGCCTGCGGAAGCGCCTGGAGAGAAGAACAATGCACAATGACAAGAGAGCTAAGACGAGGTAGACGACCTCCATTATTTGCATGCTCTGGCTGAGGGTTTTAATTCCACGACTCGTTGCAAATTGAGCGGTTGCATGGCTTGCTTTTATAGAGGATGTACGGTCTTATCTTACCACAAAAACCATATTTTATATGGCGGCTGCTAAGCGTTAGACGGGAAAATGTCAGCCACCTAGCTACTAGCTAGGCATCCCATCTGACGCTCCTGGCCGTTGGATCCACATCAGGGCATCACTCTTCGCCGTCATAAGTTCTAGGATTTTTTTTAGTCCCAACTTATAAGTCTTAAGTCCCTGAAAAGTCCCTACCTATTTGGTTCTTGTGACTTATAAGTCCCTATAAAATCATATTACAATTATAAGTCCCTATAAGACTCTCTCTGAGAGTCTTATTTCATGAGTCCCAAATGTCCACTTTAAGTCCCTATAAGTCCCTCCTGTTTGGTTTAGATGGGACTTATAGAGACTTTTTTAAGTTCCTAAACCAATAAATCTCTGAAAACAAACACCCTCAAAAAGTCTGTAGCACGAGGAGGTCGCGAATCGCTCAGCTGTACCACGAACGCCCTCGGCCCCGTTACCACAACCCGCCGCTGCGTCGCTGATGCCTGCATGGGCTGTTGTGCAGCTTGCCCGCCTCTCCCATAGAGCAACATCACATCATCACCGTTGTTGCATTGAAGCATGTGTCTCTGGTGAGATCTTTGGGTTGCAGCCCATGGAAACAAAGTGTTTTTAATTTTATATTTGCTTTGTCTAATTCATAGTATTTCCTGCATTTTTTTAATAATATTTGGTCATATGTATTGGACAATATTTCTGCATCTACTGTATTAGATCTATAGCGTTGTGAAATATATATATTTTTATATCATATTTACTTGCTATGGTAGATATTAATATTTTTCTATGGTATAGCAATCCATGGTGCAACGCTGACGAGAGGCCAGCAGAGAACGCGGGAAACTGTACGAGCTCGCCGAGCAGCAGCAGCCCCCCGCCTAATTTTTTTTCCTATTCAATTATTTTCACCGAGTGTTACAGTCAGCAAGACCTTGCTCCTTTTTCGAGTGCACTCCGCAAAACACTTGTGCCACGTGGTGATGATGATGTCTACTCTGTTTGGTGTGCACCTTTATCTCGTTGTGGCAAATTTTAGGATGGCCCCTTTTACCTCCCCTTTGCATATTCATTGAATAAGTACTCCCTCCGTCCGAAAATACTTGTCATCAAAATGGACAAAAAGAGATGTATCTAGAACTAAAATACATCTAGATACATCCCTTTTTATTCATTTTGATGACAAGTATTTTCGGACGGAGGGAGTAGTGATCTATTAAGTCTTATCTTCTCAACTCTTATGTGAAAAAAGGGGTATGAGGGAGCATGTTAAAAGTACTCGTTGTTGAATGTCCCGATTTTCCAAGTGCGCGAAAAGAAAAACTTGGCAATCATGCCATTGCCTGCAGGAGTCCAACCGAGTCCAGTATGCCGAGTGTTACATTGGGCAAACACTTTGCCCTGGGCACTCTGACAAACTCCTCGATTCGAGTAGTGATGTTTATATTTTTGCTTAAATTTTATGAGGTGATTAATATTAAATAGAAATAATGTATCTTGGTCACAAGATCTTGTGCAATGGACAGAATGGTTATCTTTCTTGAGATCATCTCTTAGATAAGTTTTTCAACTCAATAATCATCTACATGGCATTATTAGTACTAGCAAAAGAGCCCGTGCGTTGCAACGGGAGATAAAAATAACACACACTCTTAACCCAATAACCATAATATGTCCATGCCCTTTATTTTAGCGAGGCATCATATTTGTGTTGCCTCTTATCCTCCTTCTGACCCTCACTAGCAGTGGCCTCAGTGTTCACTCAAACCAAAGCGTGTTTGAATGTTGTTTTTCCCCTGCCAGGTTTTTCAGAGGTGCTCATGTGTGATTATCGATGTTTTCTTTCGTCTCTATATGATTTTAGTGGTTGTTTATTTGCAATCCAGATCGCCGCGGTACGAAAGAAAAACGAACGTACCCTATAGGTTACAAGTTTGCTTTTAAAATAATAATTTAAAATATTTAATACGTAAAAATAATATCATATTCATATTCTACATATTTTTCTAATCAAATTTCATATATGACATGTTAAAATTGGAGTTACGGTTTAATAGATATGGATAATTAAGAAAAACATTTGTTCGACTTAAATATCTTTCAAAATAATATTTTAAAAATATTTAACAAACAAAAATAACATCATATTCAGATTCTACACATTTTTCTAATCAATTTTCATATATAACATGTTAAAATCGGAGTTACGGTTTAAAAGATATGGATAATATAGAACAACATTTGTTTGACTTATATATGATCCGCGGGTGAATTATCTAAGACATCAGGGGGGTTTCCGTAAAACTGTAAAATAACGGTTTGGCTGTGCCTTAAGTGTGTACTGCGGGTTAATTTATAGAAAATGCGGGGGGTTTTTCTGCAAAAGTGAATGACGGACGAAAGAAACCCAACTTGCTTTATTATTAGGTAGAGATTAAACCATTGTACATGCCCTAGACTGCTGTCTGGGGATTTTTTCAGGGATGTGTTGAGAGGAAGGAGACGACTCAAAGGGGGAGGCGAGATCAGACCCCACGGCTGTGGGGCGTCAGATCGAAGGATCGTGTTGCCGGCAAAAATTTGGGCCGACGCGTCGGGGCCTATTAATGTTCTTTGGCTAATCTTCCATATATCGAAGTCCCGCAAAAAAAAAGTCATGTGGTACGTTTGCTGGAACTAACTTGGGATGCACATTCGAATAAATGCACATGTATAACATGTATCACGCGTCACTAGTCGTTAATACCTAGAGCCAGGGCTCCTCCTCCGCCTCCTCCTCCTCCTTCAAGATAGAAAGTTAGGGTTTGTGCCTCTCGCCGGCGCCGGCGCAGGTCCGCCTCGTCTTCGGTGGCCCTAGGGCCATGGAGGCGCGGTGGATCCTGGCAAGGACCGGCGGGAGGGCTCCGTTTATAGTCGTTTTTTCAATCTTATTAGGGTTTGTGTCCTACTCAGGAAGGTGACATGGCGGAGGCTCCGTGAAGATGAAATAAAGGTCTCCCCGCCTAGCCCCCGTTCCGGCGGTGCGTCTAGCATCGTTGGTGGGCGTGTGGAGGTGTGTCTCCGGCAGATCTATCTTTGGTGGATTTGCTCAGATCTCGTCGTTGTTCGTCTACGTTCGTGTGTCTTCCGTTTGGACCCTTCTGATCTACGTTATTTTTCATCGGCGGCGCTTGTTGTTCTGGGGTGCTGGTCCTATGGGGCCTTAGCACGACGACTTCCCGACTGTCTACTACAACAAGTTGTGCCCGACTCCGGCGATGGAGGGGCGATGACGGCGGCGCGCCTTCGGCTCGCTTCGGTGCTTGTAGTCGTCGCTAGGTGGTCTACGAGTCTGGATGTAATTTTTATTTCTGGTATTCATTGTACTGCCATGATTGAAGATGAATAGATTGGAAGTTTTTCCGCAAAAAAAAATGCACATGTATAACAAGTTGTTGTACTGCATCTCAGCTTCCTATGTCAACGTAACACAATTTATTAGTTATCTATAGAAATCATTCACCTTATATTAGGGCTCTGCAGGCCTGTCAAAAGCTCACTAATGCAGTGGCAGTAATTAAGCGGTATATAAACTTCTCCGGAAGAACCAACTGTCCTCATAATTGGAGTATCATACATAATATCATGCATGTCAACTAAGTAGGCATTTTTGCTAAGATGACACATAATTAAATGAGAAAAAAGAGTCTTGAGTATCATGATATTATATCGTATCATATTAAATGTACTAGTATGTGTCATGCATGGCAATAAATGATGTCATTGCAAAATTAAGTTACAATACTATATATTGTGGAGATAATATATAGACTAGTATCATATACATGATACTAGTTTGTGATTCTTTTCATTGTGACCAGCCTAACCGCTAGGTGACCGATAGAGGGTGGGTGGGGTAGTGCGGTAATCAATGTGCAACGCATTGCGGGAGAGATGATCAAATCGTGATCAAAATCGACAACTACCGGCCGGCTCAGGATCTACTAGCTATATAGATACAGGGAGTAAGAGTACATACTTCCAGTATAAAATTGTTGTACATAATATATATGCTACATGAGCACTGACACATACATTAGATGTACATATTTGTGTGCAAGTGGGTTTGCCATGACATGCAAGTTACTAAGTCAACGAAGCAATCGTGTCCAACGCCTTGTTATCTATCTATTGGAATAATCGATCCGAAGTTAGCGGTGATCCACATAATAGTACTTCATGTCACAAATAAGTGATGCTCTATATATCGACCCACACCAAATGTCAAAGCATTGATCGTGGCAATCACAATTGTGTGGCTTGGAACAAAATGGGGGTGTACCCCAAAGAAACTTAGAGCATCTCTACTAGACCCCTTAAAACCGCGACCCGCATAAGGCGTTTACAGTTCGATGAAGAACTGATTGGCGGGTCGAAATCGTGCACGGCAGAGTAGACCCCGTATATGAAACTGTATAATTTGAAAAAAAAACTTTCGCAGGAGAAATTGTAACCACACTAGTTCATCAAATACTACATGATCATACAGTAGTTCATCACATACTACAAGATCATACATTCTACATTCTTCTTCTACTACTACTAGAGGGGGGTGGGGGATCTTGCGGCTCCTTCTTGATGGCGACCAGGTCGCGGTCCTCCGGCTCCTCCGACCACACCCTCTTCACGGGGAGAAGCGGCGCGCCCGAAGAGGAAGAGCTCGCGGGATGGGAAGAGCCCGCGGCCAAGGAGGGCATACGCCCGTGCCGATGGTCGTACTCCTCCGTCTCGCGACGGAGGAGTGTCCGCGACGGCTCGAGGCCCTTGTTCGTCCACTTCCTCGCCACACGCTTCCTCAAGCCGTCCGAGCGGACACGCCGCTCGTGCTCGGGGTCCCCGCCCCCGCCAAAGCTGCCACCGAAGCC